AACTTTCACTTTTTAATATGAAAAACCAACCTGTGATGTTTTAAAATCCTTAAAATAGTAGTTTTGGGTATGTTTAATTCTATAGAGATTTGCCGACTACTTATATGTGGATTCTGTTGAATTAAAGCAAGAAAATTTATTGAATTATCTTCGGTCATACCTTTACTACGTCGTTTAAAACTAGGACGATGAAAACTGCCGGTTTCTCTTAATCTTCTTGCCTTTCTTGTAAATACTTCTTTGCCATAATGTCTCCTGTCAGGATATCTTACATAATATATACGTGAGGCAATAGCGGCATTTTGGTGACATTCGAAATAAACTCCAATCATATCATACAATTCTGCATTTGATATACTCATCACGAATTATTAGTACTGATAATTAATTAATAATATTACCAATATTAATATCGAATGAAAAAAGTGCAATCTTCAATTCGAATTATAATAGCAGTTTTTAACAATGTCTTGAATGTTGTCAATAAATAAACAATATCAACTCCCCGTCAAATTCATTGTCGTAGCCTACTTAGTTTCGAAAAAACTATTTTTAATCATATGAAATAACAATGGTCAAAATAGGTATCAACATTAGGATTCTTATACTATATAAAAATTTGAAAGTACCTAGACTTATTTTTTAATTTAATTTATAATACAGAGTGAGTCAATACTATACTTACTTATGTATAGGCGTTTTTATTCATATCTTGAGTTCGACAAAAGCTATTAACATGCGGTTTGCGCCATTTTGTTTCGAATTTAATTCAGTTTCATTATAATTTACAATAAATAGGTGTCTCCATTAAACATTTTGAAGAAAAACAAATTTTAATTTTTTCTATTCGAAAGTACCCTCTACCTATGACAATTAAAAATAAATACAATTATTTGCAGTAAATGTACACTGATTCATCCACACTCTTTCTAATAACACTAATTTCGTTAAAATCGGTTGATCCAAACCAAAGTTATAGGTATTTATCCACAAATACTTTGCCACTCTCCCCCACCCTTTATTTGAAACAATAAAAAAAAGTACTTGAACAAATTTGTGCAGAATTTGGGCCTCTTTCTAGTTTACTTATTCAACACTTGGTATAATTGGGAATATTTCCCAAAAAACTGATTTTCAAAGTTTTCTTCACAGGTTACGCCCCCTAGCGGTTAACTCAAAAACTTGAAAGTTATTTCCAACGATTTCTCTTGGCCACTTTTACTAAGGAATTTTTTCTCCTAAAGTTGTAACATGAATAGTTTCTGATAAATATCCCAGAGATCGGCTTATTGGACCACCCGGTACATTTAATATTGTTAACAAATAAATCAAGATTATGTTTCATTTATATGGTGCATTAATTGTATTGAATATCATTCGAGAGAAACTTATTAACTTGCAAAATGTTCTTCTGTTTTATTCAAGTTTGTTGTCTTTTGGCAATTTTCGCGAATTAAATTTTGACAGGAAAATCACGAGACGTCAATCGAGATATACTATTTCATTTATCATTATTTATATCATATATATCATATATCATTTCACAATTTCATAAAAACAAACAACAAACAACGAACAAACTTTTATACCAGTCGATAATATCGACGGAAATATGTTTTCTCTTATATACCAAAATATTTGTCCACTTCTCCTTGCAAATGTTTTAATATGATTGGGCTCTGAGTTATAATCGATTTAATGCCTCTATAAATATTTTTTGTACATAAATATTAGCACGACTTTAAATCATTTTAAAATATCGAGGTTATTTTACACACGAATATAACAATTTTATGGATAAAAATGTTAAAAATGTTAAAATTTTATGATTATTGACAAATTTAAGTACCTATGAAATGTGTTAAGACATTAATAATATTATTATCGATTTGTATTGACAAAAAAATCGTTTTTATTAGAAAAAGTTGAGTAAAGAAGGTACAAATTTCACTATGGCAACTTTGAGACGTATTTTTTAGTCGAAAACTTTTAGTCTTTGAGAGACGAAAACCTTATCGACTGTCCTAAATTATCCATCTTTGATTTGAAAATTTTGTTTTTGTTAGCTTTTGAAACTTTTTATTATTTCGAACATTATAACTTTAATTGGTAAACAATCAAACAAAGAAACACTAGTGAATACCAGTCTATAGAATAATTTGCAAAATACTGATTATTTCAATATATTAGTCGACCCTCGTTGATAAACTGTTGGTTTTAGTCCCAGGAAAGTTACTCAAGGACATATTTTAACTTCTCGTCTACATTTATGAACGCCGTTTAGATTCTTTTCACAGAGAAAAGCTTACCTGGGAATCCCGTATATGACGGCCGCTCGCCGAGTGCCCAATTTTCCCGATTGAATGTCCCTGAGGGCAGCTTGGAGTTCGTCTTCCGTGTAGGTTCGTCGACCTGCCACCGCAGACATTCTAGGTTTCGCTCTGAAATCAGAACTGAAATTATAGATACGTGAGGTGTTGTTCCTACGAGGAAGATTGATTGTGTTGTTGAAATCTTCTCGAAAAACATTTTTTATGTTACAAAAGAGAAATGTAAAAATAGCTTTACGAATCTTTATAACATTACCAATCTTTTTAGAAATAATAGTACACTATAGTGTATTTTTATGTATGAGAGAGTAATAAAACAATAAATTATGTATGCAAATCCCTAAACTGTCGATACGGGTGACTCAATGAAAAACAGATATTTGTCAACAAGTTTACAGAAGTATATAAAAAAACAATTTTCAATTGAGTATGACCACCAGGTATAAAGGTTGGAGCAGAATTGAATACAATAGTTGTGAGGGTTACTAATCCCTAAATAAGGTTGCCAGTGTCGGAGTGATGGAGGTTAACAGGTACTAATGAATTTGCAAGAAATGTAAGATGTTTATTTTATTGGTTATATATAACCAATAAAAGTTTAATAAGTACCTACCTATTTGCAAAATAAAGTTTAATTCTTTAGATAAAATAAAACGTTTTATTTTATCTGAAATGATTGCATTCCACGAAGTAAGGGTTTCAACAATCAAACATTTAATTCTTTAATTCCAGGAATCTACCACAGTAATTGACTAGATAATTACCTTCTAAACTTATTCCACAGAAAATGTGATAGTGGGTTTTTCCATTTTGTAGGAAGGTCCAAGTGGCGTATTCAAAATTCTTAAAAGTTCACTAAAAGTAGGTACTTCAGTTGCAAGGTGCAGTTTATTGTGTATACTAGTGTTATGGAAAATTTGGAAGTGCCGTGTAAACGCCGAAAAATTGGTCCTTTAACAGTTAATGAAAAAACATTAATATTTAATTGTTTTAAATCATTTACAGACGAACGTTTATGTGAAAGTGTTGATGAGACCGTTGAGTTAGTTAGCAGTACACTTGGTGTTGGGAAATCTACGATTTACAGAGTTATTAAAGAAGAGAAATGTGGTAGTTTTCAAATACCACGTAATGCTCCAGGGAAACCAAAATTTCAAATAGAATATCATTTTAAAGAAGGACTTCGACGGAAAGTGCATGAATTCTTCTTTAGACAAGAATTTCCAACATTGGATAAAGTTCTTGTCTCATTTCGAGATGATAAGGATTACCCAGAAATGATTCGAAGTACATTATGGAAACTTTTAAAAGAAATAGGCTTCCGCTGGAAAAAGAATCCCAGAAAGTCTATTTTATTAGAAAGAAGCGATATTGTCATATGGAGAAGACATTTTCTAAGAACCACAAAGGAAATGAGAAACCAGAAAAGAAAAATATTTTATCTTGATGAAACATGGATCAACGAGGTTCATACACCAGATAAATTTTGGCAGGATGAAACTGTTACAAGTCAAAGGCACGCTTTTGTAAATAACTTATCTACTGGTTTAAACCCACCATCAGGAAAGGGACGCAGGCTGATAATAGTACACACTGGCAGTTCAGACGGTTTTGTTGAAGGTGGTTTATTAACTCTTGAATCAACTCGTACCGGTGACTACCATGAAGACATGAACGCTGATGTCTTTCAAGAATGGTTCGAACAAATGATAGATCTCCTTCTTAAGAACTGTGTAATAGTAATGGATAATGCAAGTTATCACTCCAGACTTATAGAAGGACCGCCCACAACCAAGTGATTAAAAAAAGACTTGCAGAATTGGCTGAGTTCAAAACATATTACGTACCATCCCGGATCTATAAGAAAGGAACTTTATTCGTTGTGTGCCCTTCATAAAGAAAAATTTAAAAAATACGAAATTGATGAAATTGCCAAAAATCGTGGAATGACAGTACTTAGATCCCCACCATAGCATTGTGAATTAAACCCGATTGAACTGGTATGGGCACAGATAAACAGTGAAGTTTCAAGAAAAAATACCACTTTTAAAATTCATGATGTTAAACAGTTGTTTTTGGAGGCTGTAAATAATGTAAAACCTGAAAACTGGGAAAAGGCAGTAAATCACACTATTAAAGAAGAGGAAAAAATGTGGAAGCTGGACAATATTACTGATAAAATGATCGAGCCAGTTATTATAAATCTTGGTTCTGAAAGTTCATCTTCTGAATCTGATTTGGATTTGTAACAAGTAGCTGTAAGTTTTATATTAATATTTTTATTCATCTATTTAACATACCTTTGACGGTTTTAAAAACTCTTTTTCTCTTTTGTAATTTTTAAAAAATAAAAAAAATGTGAATTTTTTAAAACCTTTTTTAATGTAGGCCAGTCAGTTCTAATATAGTGTGTGATAAAAGAGGTCATTTTTGTTTACATACACATAACACTTTATAACACTGAAATAATTCATTTATTTTTTACAATTATTCAAAGTAATTTTTCAATTAATCTTGAGCACGCCCATGGAGTGGTCGGAGATACCAGTTAAAATTATGCTAATTACTCTCTCGTTCATAAAAATAAACTATAGAAAACAGTTTTATTAGTACACTAAGTTTTTGACAAATGCGCTTAAAGAATAACAAACTAAAATAACTAAAAATGTAATATGAAACAAAAATAAAGTTTTATAATCATACATATTTTATAATAGAACAGTATGTAGATAACCTCTGCATATATACTAAAATTAAGAAATTTAATACCACTATGGCTTCTCTCAAAGACATCTTTGGTGTTGTTCATGAATGGTTAACATTAAATGGTTTTCAGATTTTCCACTTCAAGTCTGAAGTTTGTGTTTTCAGTAAACACAACATACATAAATTAAGTTACATTTGCCCAGGTTCTTATAATTTTTTCATTAAAGAATCTGTTAAATATCTTGGCATGGTACTTGATAGGAAATTGACATGGAAAATGCATATTAGTTACATGTTAGACCGATGTATAAAGGGTTTAAATTTAAAAAAAATGGTTACTAAGACTTGGTGGGGAGCTGTCGTTGACGTGCCTATATCAGGTCCATATTGGATTATGGATGTATCTTGTACGGCTCTGCTAGTTCACAGATTTTAAATAAAATAGATGTTTTTAAAACTCAGTTCTACGTGTATGTCTTGGTGCCATGAGAACAACTCCAGCCGAACATCTTCATGTAGAAGCTATTGAGCCTCATATAAATCACAGAAGTCAGTCCCTTGCAGACAAATTTCTTCTTAAAATATCCAGAACCAACAGTAATCTATATTTAAATATAATAAAATTAAATAAACAAGATCTGAATTCTCCACTACTGTGTATCGCACTTCAATCTAATCAAGATATCCTTGGTGATTTATATGATCCCAGCTCAACTTTGTTAAATCTTTATGATTACAATGCATTGTTTCTAAATATAAAGATTGTAAAACTTTCATATAGCGAAAATTTTCACATTAACATTAACTTATTATACTCAATACTTGCAAGCTTCGAGGAATCTGTGGCAATATACATATACCGATGCTTCAAAGTCCAAGGATGGTGTGGGATGTGCTTTTTACATTCTTTCCAAAAATATTAATTATTCTTACAAACTGGATATCATATTTTCGATATTTAGTGCTGAAGCTATTGCAATCTACGAAGCGTTGACATTTTTATCACAGTCTACAATTGATTCTACAATAATTATGTCGGACTCCCTGTCTGTTTTAAATTTCTTGGTTTTGGATACATATCCAAGTTACTACTCAAATTAAATTATATATGCAATTAAAAAACGGATTTTAGAACTGCAAAAAGTTAACAAAAACATTAATTTTGTATGGGTTTTTGTAAGTGTAAGTTTTTGTGATGCAGTAGCTAATATTAGAATAAAATATCTCAACATTTGGAACGAAAGTTGGTCACAACATACTTGTACCAACCCTTCTAGATACTGCAGTATAAAAAATCAATCAAGCAAAAAACATGATTTAGATCATATTTTTTTCGAATGCCAAAAATATAAGAATGAAACAGATCAATTTATTCAACAACTACATGATCTCAATATACAAGCTTCGTTTAGTATCCATAGTCTCTTAGCTAATTCTATTCTATTTTATTCATATCTTCCTTTGTTTGAAAAACGTCTGTTTTAAATCTAACTCTAAATGCCAAAATCTAAATGAGTCAAGTCAGGAGAGCAAGCTGGCCAACGAAACCCACCCTGATTAGCAATTAGTCTATCATTAAACATGTCGTAAAAATGCTGAGTAACAGACCCAAAGTTATGAGGAGGTTTACCATCTTGCTGATACCAGCTGAAGCCGCTCTTCAATTTTTTAAAGTATGTAACGTTGTTGTAATTGTAACGTGTATGTAAATAATACCAAACTTGAGCAAGTTGATAAAATCGTCTACCTTGGACAGCAATTAAATTGTAATGCAGAAAATCACGGCGAAATTAGATCCAGAATAGAGCAGGCTAGAGCTGCTTTTAGAAGGATGTCCAAGGTGTTATGTAACAGAGACCTAAAATTGGCATTAATGATCCGCCTACTTCGCTGCTACGTGTTCTCGGTCTTACATTATACTGTCGAGTCCTAGACTGTGAATAAAATCGATCTAAATCGCCTGGAGGCTTTCGAAATGTGGTGCTATAGAAGAATTTTAAAAGTTTCCTGAAAGTTAAGTGGTCTGAAAGGTGCTATAAAAAGTTCTTGGAATACTCAAAATAAAACATCAGATAAAATAAGTCAACACAACAAAGATCTTTGCTGTCCATTTAAAAATGGAAACGAATCAAACAGAAAGATAGAACAAAATGAAATGTATAAAAATCACTAAAATCAGCTTGTGGCATTTTTAACTTCATTTTTTAAGCAACAACAACTAGAGTTTTAAAACAACGCATAGACTGACAACAAACACAGCACAAATAATTTTTGGTTCACGATTGCATTCCGTTTATAAATTGAGAAATTATCATTATTC